GAGGAGGAGGAGGATGAGGAGGGGGAGGAGGAGGAGGAGGAGGAGGGGAGAGGAGGAGAGTAGGAGGAGGAGGAGGAGGAGGAGGAGCAGGATGGGAGGAAGGAAACGAGAAGGAGAAGGGGGGGGGGGGGCGAGGAGTGGGGGGAGGAGGAGGAAGGCGAGGAGCAGGCTGCAGGAGGCTTGCGCATTCGCATTTGACGTAGCCGTGTGCACGCTTGGTCCATCCTTGGCGTCGATGTACACTCAACGTTATCTCGAAGACTGCCGAGAGGCATCGGCATACACGTCAGGAGTTCCGCGCGGATGTCCTGGGTCGGCGCTGGACTCCCGTCCCCGCCACCCGCGCCGACCCCGTCGCGCTCCGCAGTCCGGGTGGGGGGCGTGCGGGGAGAGGGTGGTCCCGCGCCGACCCGGGGGATCTGCGCCGACCTCCTAAGGCTTGTGTTGGTGGCTCTACCTGCGCTTCCACGGTCTTAGCCCGAGGCCGCCTGCGCGACGCGCGAAGTGCCGCGTGCTCTGATCGCGGTGCCCTCCTCTGCCCTCCTCCGCGGCCGCTCCCCCCCCTTTTTGCATGGGCCTCGGTGCGCAGTTAGCTCTTTCGCGTGCCTGGTGTTGCTGCTCGACGCTTCGTGTCCCGCGTCGCCGCTGACATTCTCGTTCCGCTGTCGTCTTCCAACTTTCGTCTCCCAAGGCACGTGGTCCCTGATGGAGCCCAGCGCCCGCCTGTACGCAATCATGATCCGGGCCTGCGGGCTTAGCAAGGACTTGCCGCCAGAACGGTGGGGGGATGGCGAAGGGGAGGGGGGGGAGGAGGAAGGAACGGGGTGGGGAGGAACGGGAACAGGGAGGGGGAGTGGGCGAGAGGATAGTGATGATGACGATGATGACGATGATGACGATGATAGTGATGATGGTAGAGGTGGTGGTTATGATGATGCGGATGATGATACCGACTGCTGGTGATGATGCTGACGATGATGATGATGATGGCGACCTCGACGACGGCGACAATGATGATGCTGCTGATGGCGATAGTAATGATGATGCTGAGACGGATTTTGTTAAAGCTCTGGATGATGATGGTTCGTATGATTCTTATGGTGATGATGATGGTGGTGACATGGTAGTGGTAATTCTCTGACGATGGTTGCGATGATGATGGTGAAGGTGGCGATTATTGTTATGGTGGTGGTGGTGGTGATGGTGACGGAGGCTGTGAGGAGGAGGTTGGTGTTGGTAATGGTGGTGGCAAGGATGTTGAATTGGATGGCGTTGGCGTTCATCTGGGATTATGGTAATGGTTATGATAATGAGGATGATGATGAGGATGGTGACGATGACGATGACGATGAGTATGCTGATGTTGCTAACGATGGTGATGCTGATGACGCTGATGATGATGAATCGGGGTTTGGTCATGATGATGATGGCGATGATCATGGTGACTGTGGTGGTGGTGATCATGATGAGCTATCATTTCTGAATCATGATTATTGTTGTTCTCCTCCTGTGCACATTGTATTTTTAGTTGAAGTAATCACCATTCCCTGGATTCGCGCACCGTTTTTTTACAAAGGGGGAATCTTGCGGCTCAGACTGTGCCCTTGGCCTCCAAGTTACGGCAACACGGGCTCCCGCCTCAGACACCCCCACAATTTATCGAAACATTTGGCTTTCGTTGGGGGCTTCCTTACAATATATGCAGGGGTCGCGCTCTCGCTTCATACTTCTCTTACACTTTATTCGCGAATCGCTTTGCTCTGTTGGTGCTCTGACATCGCGGTTTCTCTCGAGACCTCCTCATACTTTACTCAGGAACTGCGCTCCCGCCTTCGGCTGCGTTGCTTTTCCTTTTTGTTCCCGCTTGCACATTTCTCTTGTTCTCCATGTTATCCTTCACCCCCTTTTGCCCCCTTCCCTACTCCCTCTTTCCTCCAATCCCTTCCTCCTCGCCTTCTCACCTTTCCCTCCTTTTCGGTTCTTCAAGTTTTAAGGGCTGCGCCAGTTACACGTGGCAGGGAAGGACGATATCGAATGGCCCCCCGCCGCAGTGCCTGGGTTGAGGGGGTGAAGCCAACTGGATGCTCGTTGAGATCTCGTGGGGGACTTCTCGGGGCCTCGTGGGGGCAGTTTGGACGCCTCCCGGGGGCCGTTTGGGGGTCTCTTGGGGCCTCTTGGGGGCCTTTGGGGGCGTGTGTGAAAAAATGGGACGGGAAACACCGATCGCAACCGCATCGTAAGGTTGGCACGCCGGGCACGCCAATTTACGCGAAGTGCGTTCTGTGCATGAATTGACACACTAAACCCGCACCCGCCCGATCGTTCAGAGGGATTGCCGGGCGACCTAAACTGCGCCCCGTGTGTGAATTTACATAATGCAACCCGCCCCTCGCCGGATCGTCAACGCGGGTCGTTGGACAACGTCTCGCAGGTCTCATTGGTCTCGTCAGCCACACAGGTCCCCCGGGCCTCACAGGTCGCGCAAGTTTCATAGGCCCCG